TCAATGATGAAATTGACATAACATAATAAGTCAAGGATAAAATGGGAAAGCAAAAGTTTTTCACAATATCATAATTATATATATATATATGCATGAACATAGGGTATACATTAAAATAACCCTGCTACCTGATTATTGTTACTTGCTAACTCTCCTACTCAAAACTAGACTAGATATAGCAAATAATCCCAGGTTGGAACCTAATATATGAATTTTTTCCGAAGGAAAAGACTTGGTGAAGATGAATGTATGTGGATTGTGCCCCGATTTATTCGTTTGCACATTGGTTGTGATGTTGATTTGTTGACCTCTATTTTCTCAGAAGTTTCTTAAGTATTTATTTGAGTAGGTTTAAATCATTTTCGGTTAATAGCGTAGCAATAATAATGAGGTCAGTTGTATGATACCTCAAATCTTAATGAAAATTTCTGGCATTTTTGTTTTATTTGTGCAAGATGATCTAATCTTTGAAATCTAAGATATTTTTGACATGTTATTTTCTATTTGATGAAGTACTATAAAACATTTGATTTTAACTGATTTAGGAACAGTGGACATATGAATCCACATATTCTCTTTGCTTCATTTTGTGTTTCTGAATTTATAATTGTTAATGCAGGCATATGCTGATGCTGGCACTGTAAATCAAAACTATGCAAGTATTCTACTGATGCTTTTGCGCCTTCGTCAGGCTTGTGACCACCCTTTACTTGTTAAAGGATTCGATTCTGAATCTGTTGGACGATTTTCTTCAGAAGTGGTGAAGAAGCTTCCTAGGGATATCGTGATCAATTTGTTAAGTCTATTGGAATCTTCCTTGGCCATCTGTCATGTGTGCAGAGTAAGTGTTCCTTTACCTTGACCTTTCTTTCCGTGTGTGGTGTGGTGTTCATGTTTCTTGTTACATTAACTTCTTGATGCAGTTTTCTGCCTCTTTAAGAGTATGCATGGCCTGAATGTTGTTCTGTTGCTATTTCTCAATGAGGCCTTCAGTAGGGGAACAGTTAGATTGTTTTGTCTTGCCACATTACATGAGTCTATCTTGCAGAGAATTTTCTTGGGCAAGAATATCTGGTTTTGGTTGACAGAGATGCATGTAATAGGGTTCATTTAAAAGTCTTAAAATGTTCATACTCTTCCAAAATGCCTTAACGTTCGTTCCTTGAAATTAACCTTCTGATACTATGCAGTTTCAAATCATCAACAGGAAACCATGGTGCTTTAGGTGCCGTTTGATAAAACGATGTTTTTGTTTTTTTTTGTTTTTGTTTTCATTTTGTGGCAAAAAAAAAATGCGTTTAGTGAATGTTTTTGTTTTTTTTTTACTAATTTGTTTTAAAAACAATGCCAAAATATGTCTGGCGAACAAGCTACTCCAGCTCCAGCAACATCTCCATCTCCGGCGAAGATCTTCATCTCAACCTTCTCTATTTTGGTGGTGGTGGGTTTGGGTGGTGGTGGGTTTTGGGGATGGGGGTGGGTTGAGTGGTTGTGAATTTTAGGAGATGGGGGTGGGTGTCAAGGGGTGGTGGTGGATATCGGGGATGGTGATGGGTTTTAAGGGATGGGGATGGGGATGGGTTTCAGTGGTGATGGGTTTCAGGGGATGGAGGTGGGTGTTGGGGTTGGGTGGTGCTGGGTTTCAAGGATGGGGATGTGTTTCGGTGGTGGTGGGTTTCGGGGATGAGGGTGGGGTTGGGTGGTGGTGGGTTTCAGGGGATAGGGATGGGGGTGGGGTTCGGGGNACATGAGAGAAAATTTTTAATTATATTATGTTGAATTATGTTGTAGACAAGGTTTTAATTATATTATGTTGTAGATGATAAGTTTTTTAATTAAATTATGATATTTTATAATTATGTTGAATTATTTAGAATATTAAATTTATTTAGAATTTTGGATTATGTTGGCTTGAGCTTGGGTTGGATAAGGTGGACGGGGGCAAGGGCAGGGACGGGGGTGAAGGTGGGAGATGAGGCGGGGGCGGGGGTTACAAATTTACCTGCGGATGGGGATAGAGATGAAAATTATACCGGTTAATGGGGGTGAATCAGGGATGGACAAAATTTTTTTAAGCGGGTACGGGGATGGAGACTACACCCTCCGCCCTCGCTCGGTCAACTGTCATCCCTACATACCCTCATTATATCTAAGAAAACTTTGTATCGCGTACCCATACCTGTATCATGTACCAAAGCGACCCATAATTCGGGTAATATTGATCTGAATTTCTAAGGCTTGAAATCTATTATTTAATAAAATAGTTGTCAATTTCCCCACTTTAGATGCTTAAACATTGTAGCTCGCCCATGGAAACCAAGGGAAACTATGCAACCAACATGGACTATTTGGTTATTCAATGCATTAACCTTATCCTTTTATATGTTCATAGTAGACCACCATTTCCTATTTTCAATATGAACAAAAAATGGTATCACGAATTGTGGACCTACCAAAAGTAAACTAGCTACCGAAAAGACCGTTACCCAATGTTAACACTCAATTTCCAAGGGATGGAGAGTGTTGACCGGCTAGAACCTATTCTTTAGCTTAAGCAAAGTGACTTAACTGAAAAATTTTGCTTCTCAGTCATAACCATATGAAGTTTGACCTTACAAGCAATTTTTTCCATGTTTAATGAAACAGAAACATATCTGTATTAACAAAACATTAAACAAACAATTTTGAAATTATAAAGTCAATTTGCATATGAAAACATTATCACTCTCATAGATAATGGCCACTTATCCTCAGTGTGTGGTCTTCTAATGCTATCCTCAATAATACTCCTCTAATGATCAATGCAAATGGAGAATCAGCCTTCCGTTCCCCTAAACCAACCTTGTTGGCTAATGGAGAGTACCCGTCCGGAGGCAGGACCGAATATAAAGTGCCAGATTATTTGGATCCTTTCACAGTTAGAGCTGACATGATCAAGAAATAGAAATATTGTAAGGATTACAGTCACCCACTACATCTGTACTCATTTGTAAATGTTTAATCAAATTGCAACATCATGGCCATTACAACCTTCATAACCAAACTGTATTCTTACTCCCAAAACAAGCATTTTTAGTGTACAACCAAAAACTTAAAGGGAGAGACTACACACAAATGCACAGTGAGAGAATGGGGGAAGGTTTAAGTGCTTAAATTGGTAATCATAAAGGTCTTTAGGAGAGAGCCTCTTTATTTGAAAGAATATGAAATGTTGAAGTCCTAAATTGCAGCAATTTTGCCTTGAATCCCGAAGGTTTAAAAGTTAAATCAATGAACAAGTGTGGAAGCATTAGTCCTAGAATTTAATGGGCATCTGTGGATAGGGATGACAATGGACCAGGGAAAAACGGGTATTTGTCCAAACTCGTCCTGTTTGGACCGGGGATGAACTATACGTATTGGATGGTAGACGTATACGGAGATACCCGTATAAACCTGTACAGGGATGAAAGCCGGGATGGACTTACCCTTACCCCTTCCCCGCCCCCCCCCCCCCC